AAGAAAAAGACAAAAAGAGTGTTATGGTTGATATATTATGTCAACTAAGAGGCCCACCAGGGGGCCAGGATCCCTACTTTGTAAATATCCTCATTCTGTTCAAGAGGAGCGGCACAGAGATTTTGTGAGTACTACATCTGCCCTGGAGGGCAGGGGATAGCCTACATACAATATAAGTGGGGGAAAAAAGGCTTTCCTTGCCCTCTCCTTTGGTTCTGGCTGCTTTTGCTGGCTGGAGCCTTGAAGAGTTTTCCCAGTGCTATGCCACTCTGCCTTGGAGCCAGATGATTATGGACTGAAACCTCCATAAACAGTGAACTAAAGCTTCCCTTCTTTCATTTTAGGGGTCTAGTATTTTGTCCCAACAATGAGAGAAAAGTAACCAAGAAAAAGAATTTTACCTACTCTATCTTCCAGCAGGTTTATTGTTTCTAATATTAAGATCTTTGATCCATTCTGATTTTAGCTTAGAATATGGTGAAAGAAATGGGTCCAGTTTTAATCTTCTGCATATTTAGGGCCAGTTTTTCCAGCAACATTTATTAAAGAGATTATCTTTTGTCCAGTGAACATGTTTGGCACCTTTGTCAAAAATAAAGTGGTTTATTGTATCTGGAGTTGTTGTTTTTGCATCTTCTAATCTGTTACATTGATTTTGGGTCTGTTTTTTTTTTTTTTTTTTTTTTTTTGGCCCATACCACACTGTTTTCATCACAGTAGCTTTATAGTATAATTTCAGCTCGGGGATTGTGATGCCCCTTGTGTTGTCTTTGTTGTCCAGGACTGCCTTTGCTATTCAAGGTCTCTTCAGGTTCTAGATGAATTTTAGGATTGGTTTCTCCAACTCTGTGAGATATGCTACTAGAATTTTGATTGAAATTGCATCGAATGTGTATAGCAGTTTTGGAAGTATAGCCATTTTCACTATGACTTTTCCTACCCAAGAGCACAAGATACCTCTCCATTTTCTAATATCTTCTTCAATCATCTCTTTTTCCAAAGCACTTTAGTTTTCAATGTGGAGGTCTTTTATGTCCTTTGTTAGATTGATTCCTGAGTATTTCATGTTTTGGGGTGCTATTGTAAAACATATTATTTACCTGATTTCTGTCTCAGTGAGTTTGTTATTCATGTACAGGAAGGTTATTGATTTTCAAGTGCTGACTTTTAACTAGCTGCATTACTGAATTTGCTTATTAATCTAGTAACCTTTTGATGGAGTTTTTAGGGTTTTCTAAGTAGAGTACAAGTTTGCAAATAACAATAGTTTAACTTCTTATTTTTCTACCTTTATTCCTTTTATTTCTTCCTCTTGTCTAATTTCTCTGGCTAAAGTTTCCAGGACTATGTTGAATAAGAGTGGAGACAGTGGACATCCTTGTCTTGTTCCTGATTTTAGAGTAAAATCTTTCAGTGTTTGTCCATTTAGTGTGATGTTGGTTGTTGGTTTACCATAGATGGCTTTTATCAGATTGAGATAAAGACCATCTATTCTAATTTTCTGTAGGGTTTGTCCTTGGCTCTGTTAATATGGTGCATTACGTTTATGGGTTTACATATATTGAACCATCCCTGCATCCTTGAGATGAATCCCACTTGATCTTGGTGTATAGTCTTCTTGACAGTTTGCTGAAGTCTATTTGCCAGTATCTTAGTGAGGATTTTTGCATCAATGTTCATTAGGGAAATTGGCCTGTAATTCTCTTTCTTAATTGGGTCTTTCTCTGGTTTTGGTGTCAGGGTAATGCTTGCTTCCAGGAGTGAATTTGGAAATACTGCTTCCCTTTCAATTTCATTAAAGAGTTTGAGAAGTAGTGGCATTAGGTATTCTCTAAATTTCTCATAGAATTCAGCAGTGACTTCGTCAGGGTTTGGGATTTTCTTTGTTGTTAGGTTTTTAATTACATCTTCAATTTTATTTATTTATTTTTTATTTTAAAGATAGTAACATCCAACAAAACAAGACAGAACAAAGCCAATCAAGACAGTGCAGCAAAATTGGTACAGAACTTCAGAGTAGGATACCAGGAAAACAATAATAGCTACCATAGTATATCTTACTTTCACAACAGTTGTCCATGCCATCGGGTATAGCAAAATAAAAACAAAACAGTATAAAATCAATCAAAACAGAATATTGAATAAAGCAAAACAATTAATCAGAACAAAGAGGGGGCTGGGGATTTACCTCAGTAGCATAAGTGCCTGCTTTGCAAGCATGTGGTTGTGAGTTCGATCCCCGGTATCAATAAAAAAAAAAAAGAACAAAGCAAAACAGTGAAAACAGTTATGGATTTCAAAGACAAGATAGAAGGAAATCCTTTAGATTTGCTGTATTGTTTACTGTCATCCTCCCAAGGGATGCTCAGACCGCTGGCCCCAGGTCTTCATAATCAACCAAACAATACAAGCATTTAGTTGCTTTATGTACCTTAGTTGCTATCAACTCAGGTTGTCCTTGGAACCATCAGGTTGCTAACATGGGTGGGGGGGTGGGGATGGACATTGTTTGATTCTTAGCCCACATGCCTGTAGGCTCATGGGAGGTGCTGACTTTCTTTCCCTGGAACACACGTGGCTTACACAGCTTACCTGGAAGGCTGGCTGGTTGATTTCTTGGTTGCTCCCCCAAGTTCCAGCATGGCAGAGTCTCAGGGGATGCTGACTTGTCTCTCCCTGGAGTGCGTGCGGCTCCCAATTTCATTTATTGATATTGGGTTATTTAGGATTTTTATATCTTCTTGTTTCAGCTTTGGTAATTCATACGTATTTAGGAACTGTTTCTGTTTTGAAAGGGCTCTGAGATAAACCAAACACCACTAACATGGGAGGAACTTACATAAGACTGGACACAAAGACATTTAAAATAGTCCTAATTTAAGGATACAGGGATGGTATCAGGGGCCTTAAGAATGTCTTATAATTGATTTCAAAATTTTGCACACATGAATACTTTTTGGATGCAAGGGCTCATGGCTGTCACAGATGTTCATGAGGACCTGTGGCACTCCAGCGTTCATAGCAGCACTACTCACAATAATCAAGAAGGTAGAAACAACTCAAGTATTCATCACCAGATGAATGCATAAACACTGTACTCCATTGGAATACAACACAATATTTTTGTCTTATAAGAAATGAAATTTTGATTCATGCAACAATAGAGATAAACCTCGAAAACAGTGTGCTGAGAGAAGTAAGTCAGACATGAAAAGGCAAATATTGTGTAAGTCCACTTATATGAGGTTCCTAAAAGAGTCGATTCTGGACAGAAAAGCAGAATACAATAACAGGGGGTTGGCAAGAGAAAAAAGAATTGGAAAGTGTTGTTTAATAGATATGAAGTTTCTGTTTCTGATGATGCAGTCATTATGAAGATAGATAATTGTCATAGCTGAAAAGATTGTAAATACATTTATTAGCACTGAGTTATATAATTGAAAAATTGTTAAAATAGTAAATTTAATATTATACATTAAGAATAGTTTTTTTTTTAAAAAAATGTATCTGTGGCTCTGTACTAGATGATTTTCTGGACACCATCAGCCCTATTAAGATATGTTTTCCAGAAATATGGAGTTACAAAGACAAAACTTAAAGATTTAGGATACTTCCATTTTCTTTATATTTAAAAAGAGGCACATGACATGTTTACTTTTTTATATTTAATTTAATGCTTTGGTAAAACTGTATTTGAAAGTCATCAAAATCATTCCTGGCATTTACAGTACGTCTTTCAGTCTACCTGGCATGATTTCATGTGATCATCCTCGACCACTAAGAACTACCAGATCTCTGTTGCACTTCAGCTGGAGGGAAAGACTGAGAACAAAGTGCAACCCCAATGTCACGTTCATTCTCAGAGTTCTCTCCTTTGGCTGTTTACACAGACCTGGCAGCAGAAACTGCCTGGCAAGTTTGGCAGCCTTGGGACAGTAGTTAATACCCAGGAGCTCCTCCTTGATGATAAGGCGGGTTGCATCGGAGTTAATGGTACTATGACTGACACACTTCCCAGGTGCAGTCACCTAACAGGTGCAGCGTCATTCAACCCATTCCACCTGGAGCAAGGCTACTAAACAAGGGTGCTGCTGTAGTATGGATCTAAAATGTGCCCTGGGTGATAAAAGCTGATTTATTCCCCAGAGTGGGCACTGAAAAGTGGAGGAACTGAGGTCTTCAGTCACAGGACTGCCTTAGAAGAGCATATTGGGAACAAGTCTCCCTCCTCCTGTGTCTTTGATTTCTGCCTTTTAATTTGAGCAGTTTTGCTTTACCAAGGGCTCCCCACCATGATGCGTTCCCTTCCCACAGGTCCAAAAGCAATAGTGTCAATTGATCATGGACTGAAATCTCTAAAGCCATGAAGCAAAATAATTTTTTTCTTTTTATAAGTTGATTTGCTTTGTGTGTGTGTGTGTGTGTGTGTTGTTTTGCTTTGTTTTGTTTTGTTTTTTAGAGATGGAAAGTTGATTACCACAGAAGTAAAAAATATTTCTGCTCTCTGAAAATTAATTCAGAATTCTGTCTCAAGAGTCTAGGAGTATTTATTTTCTTCCTTAATAATGGAAGAAGCCAGAAACTGCCCTATTGAAGTTCTCTTGAAGTAGACACAAAAAAGCAGGGCTGCTTCACAAAGGAAACACCAGAAACGATAGCCTGGAAGGGCAACGGGATCCACATAGTGGGAAAACCACCCTCAGCCAGTGCTGTGACTGATGACGGAGCAAGTTACTCCTCAGTTTATGTGCTTCCCAGGCACAGCCAAGTCCATGCAAGGAAGCTCATATGCCAAGGTAGGTGAGCACCCAGTTCTGTGCCAACATAAAGAAGAGCAAGAAAGAAAGAACAGATAAATGGAGATGAGAAGAAAAAGACAGAGGAAGAAAGAGATAAATAAACATATGCCATCACTGTTCAGAATCCTTTTAAACATACAGGACAGCTACCTGATTGATGAAACAAAGACAAAACTCCAATGATACAGGGTTGATATTTACCTTCTGAATCTTTGTTGTAGAAAACACCATGTGGATGCAATGAGTAAGGTCGGGATGCAAAGTTCTTTAAATGAATGACAAGCACATCACCCACTTCGGCCCTCAGGATGGGGCCCAAGAATCCAAGCCAGGGAGGTTTGGAGATCTCAGTGGTGTAGGTTCCATCTGTGAAGTGTCTGTAAACAGCCTTTTTGTAAATGCCACCTATTCGGGTTGGTCCTCTTTCAAGAAATAAAGTTGCAAGTCTAAAAGTAAGAAGAAAAATGTTTTCAAATAAGGATTAAAAGAGAAACCAGAAAAGCTTGCCTTTGAGAGTCTGTAAAATCTTTCATGTGTGATTTTTCATTTGATGTTTAACCTGTGGCCTCTGTAGAGTTGGTAAGATGATTTCATTTTACCAATGGGGAGAAGAGGCTCAGCTAGTTAGGGGACAATTCAAAAGGCACAAATAATAGTCACAGCCAAACTAAAACAAAGGCAAAGAATTCTAAAGTCACACTAGTCACTTGCCCCTTTTCACTCAACACACTCTGGTTTGCATTTAACCAACATTTATTGTGCACTTACTACATTCTCAGAACTTTGATAGGTGCTGTGGGGGTGGATATAAAGAGTTTTTAATAGTCAGAAAATTAAGCATCCGTACAAAGCAGTATATGACTAGTTGTTGAGTTATGAAATAGATACAGGTTCAACTTTTCTAGAAATATAGTATGTTCAAAGAAGAAAATGTTACTATAGGTAGAAGAGGTATAAAAATATCCCACAATAGTTACACAAATTAAGGGGTAGGCTTAGCTACTGTGAAATGAGCTGTTATAAACACAGGTATGCTGGTACTACTATAGTGCACACATGGTGTCTTTAATGCTTTCAGGAGCAGACCCAGGAGAAGTATAGCTGGGTCAAATGGAATCCCTTTTTAGTTTTTTGAGGAGTCTTCGTATTGATTTCTACAGTAGTCGTTACTACTCTACAATCCCACGGACAGTGTAGAAGGTCTACCTTCCCCCCACATCTTTGCCAGAGTGTGTTGCTTTTCTTGTTCTTGATGATACACATTCTGCCTGGGAAAACATAGTTTTTCAGAGTTGTTTTGATTTGCATTTTTCTAAGGGCTAAATATGTTGAACAGTTTTTCATGCACTTACTAGCTGTTTGTATTCTTCTGAGAAGTATCTATTTAGTTGACTTACCCAGTGTTTGCTTTATTCATTAATATGTGTTTGTGATGCATAATATTTGCTTCCATCTTGAGTAACTGGTATAAACACATATCACAGTTTAATCGTTTTTACTGTCACTTCCCCTTCCATTCTCCTGTCTCTTCCCATTCCCATGACTCCTTCCTTCCCATCTCCAGTTCATGAGTGGGTCATTTGTTTTATGAGAGTTAATTTTTTTAGTTTTTTTATGCATTCTAGATAACAGTCCTCTATCCAAAGAGTAATTGGCAAGCCTATTTCCCATTTTGTAGGTTGCCTTTCACACTGTTGATTGTTTCCTTTGCTGTGCAGGAGCATTTAATTTGATTTAAGCCCACTTGTTGATTCTTGATATTATTTCCTGCATTGCTTAGAGGGGTTCTCTTGGAGAAATCTCTGCCTGCAACTATGGCGTCAGTTGTTTCTCCTCTCCTATCTTCCAGCAGTTTCAAAGTTTCTGCTTTTATATTTAAGCATTTGATCCATTTTCATTTGATTTTAGTACAGAGTGAGAGCAAGGGATTCAATTTCAATCATCTACACATGGGTAACCAGTTTTCTCAGCCTTATTTGCTAAAGATATTATTTTTTCTCAAATGAATGTTTTTGGCTCCTTTGTCAAATATCAGATGATTGAAGGTATGTGGGGTTTTTTCTGTGTCTTCTGTTCTCTAAGGTCTACATGTCTGTTTTTATGCCAGCACCTTGCCCTTTTAATGCTATAGCTTTGTAGTATAACTTGAAACCTGGTACTGTTATGCTTCCCATTTTGCTTTTTTGCTCAGGACCCACAATTTAAACACTAGACAAAGCCTAGACACTCATCAAAAGACACACAGATTTTTTAAAATATGGTTAAAAATAACAGACAACAGTCTATTATTCAGCCATAAAGAAGAACTAAACTATGACATTTGCAGGAAAATGAAAGGGACTTGAGACCATAATTATGTAAGTGAAATAACTCAGATATAGAAAATAAATGAGGATACAGATTATCTTACATGAGAAAATATAACTAAAACTAAAATATAAAGAAATAAAAGTAAAATAAAGAGTAGGTGGTCAGAAACAAAAAGACTTTCTGGAGATAAAGGAATCAGAGGCAGGGAAGAGATTGGAAAGGAGGTCAAGAGATAAAACAATAATCCGTATATGTTATATAACTATGCCCAAAGTGACCATAACTGTTATGTGTTACAAGCACACATTAATACAATATTTAAATTTTTTAAAGCTGTAGACTTAGATAACAAAGAGGAATGTGAGGACACTAAGCAGGGACAGAGCATGACAACAAGGGGAAAGATGTGCACATGAATTTGTCTTGGAAACGCTGCACACTCATCGCCATTTTTCACCAAGTAACTAACATGACAGTTGGGACCATGCCTAAAGCAGTGGGATGCAGGTTGTATAGGAGTCAGGAGAAGAAGACATCAAGACACAGAAAACAAAACTATTAGATTGGAAAAGAGTGATGCAATAGAAAAAAGGGATTTGTGTGGGAAAAACATAAGATTTGATGTGAGTCGATGCCCTCCCAGGGTCTCAGGGAGGAGAGTCTCAGTCAGAGTGTGTGTGTTGGGGATGCATCTTGAGACAATAGCACTGGACACATCACCATACTTGTACCAGCTTCTCTTGGGGAGGTAAAACTCTCTCCCCACCCACTCTTTATATTTAGCTTGGAGCTCCAACCCCAGAAGTGCTGGCTTCTGCTTGAGCAAAAGCCCCACCACTCTTGGTACAACCATATTAGTGTAGCTGTACTCTCCGTGGGATAAGAGGCCAAGTTCTGGTCTGTAATACATTCCTGCAAGCTCATATACATACAATCCCTCTCAGTCATTCAACAAACAATAATTATGTCAAGTCCTGCTTTCAGTACTAGGCACAATTAGGGAGAAAAGTGCTAGCTTTGAAGGAGGTACTTCTGGAAGGTAAAATTACAGGAAAACAAATTCTGTTCTGCAGCATCTACTCTAAAGTGGAAGACAGGTCAGAAGAGATTTCCTAGAGGAAGCCATGCCTAAATGTGCTCCCAAGACTCAAAGCCCTCTCACTTAAGTGAAGAGGATGGAAAAGGCTGGTGCGGTGGACATGTCATCTGGTAATGCAGCATCTGTACTCCTTTTGTCTAAGGCCACACCCTCCCCATGCTCATCATGTGGACGTTAGATAGGCCTCCAACTCCAGCTCTAGAGATGGAACAGTGACCCAGGCTGAGTTTGAAGCACACTGTGTTCCTCTAATACATTGTTATGAGAGTGGGACTTGTGATCCTGATCTGCCAATTGGTACCATTTCCCCTGGCTTCAGAACACAGGAACCTCTGAATCACAGTGGTTAAGGGACGGACACAGAGGAAATCCAGGGACCTGCGATGGGTCTTCTCATTGTGCGGCTGGGGAAGTGACTCCAAGGCTGGCCCAGGCACAGAGTTTGTTTTCTAATTGTTTAAGTTTTGCTATTTATTTCTCCCCTCTAATCAATTCTAATTACCTCTATCGCCGTGATGATTCCCCTTAATTTTTTTCTTTCCCATTTGTTATACTTTTTATTCTATTTTATTTAGTTCTAAGAATTTGAGAACTCATCTAATTCATTTACAAAATGGACCTCAAGGCGTCAGTCACCATTTTTCTTTTTTTGTCTTTTTCCTTTTTATCGTATCGGGGATCGAACTCACGACTGCCTGCTTGCAAGGCAGGCGCTTATGCCACTGAGCTAAATCCCCAGCCCCTTAGTCACCATTTTTCATTTCTGTTCTTTTGTGCCCCCAGTACCGTTTCAGCTTTTTTCCCTCAAGTTTTCCCAACTGAAATTTATCCCAGCCTTCCCTAAAGTACCAGTATGATTCTATGCCTTTAACATGGTCCATTCAAGGCTACAATGAACAACTTTTGTTTGTTTGTTGTTTTGTTTTTTGAGACAGAGTTCTCACTCTGTAGTTCAGGGTGGTCTTGAAATCACTATGGAGTCCAACCTGGCCTCAAACTCACGGCCTCCTGCCTCTACCGAGTGCTGAGATTACTTGCCTACAGTGAACAATTCTTGCAGATCTGTTTATTACAGGTTCACAATGAGAATTCAGACAATTTCAGGATACATAGACCAGTTGGACCTAAATGATCCCAAAATATCTGCTCAGTGGCATACAAGCCTGGAGGGTTATGAGGCGATGAGTTTCTCATGTTCCTCCGTAGTGCTCTTCTTCAATTCTTTCTTCTGCCTTATCCCTCTCAGGATAGGACACAAATGTCCACTTTCCTTCTCTTCTGTCTTCTCTCAGTCAGAATCCCAAGCAGATGCTCTGGTTCAGGTAATTGTCTTATCTGAGGCCCCAGCCTCAGACATTACTAGAGCTCTAAATTGAACCATCACATTCCTATTCCACCCAAACATAAAGCCAAGAACAATGCTCTTCTTGAGTTAGACATATCTCCTGACCAAATGTATAAGGTCTGTACCCACACGTGACAGTGCCCTTACAATTAGTTAAGTCTTTGTAATTCGAGCAGCTACATTGAAGATAGCAGTACACTACATATTAGCCATTGTTAAATATCTTTTATGTTACTATGATATTCTGTATCACTGTTTTTATTATTTTTCTTTAAAATAAAAAATAAAGACATATGACCACTGTGGAGAGACACAAGTGGAAGGCCCTGCCTTGTAATAAGCTCTTTCTGCTCCCATCAGCACCCATGCATCCCATAATGATTCTCCCAGCAGACCTCACATGTGTCTGCTCTGCATTAGTCTGGGGGTGAACCTCACTCTGCAGACTTCCTATCACACAGACGGAGGACTTACAGCATGCAAGGTTCTAGGCTACATGTTCTGGATACAAAACTGAGCATAACAGATCAGTGATCAAGAAAGAGACCAACACATTGATCCACAGAAACAGCAGGTAAACACTGTACAAAGGAACTGGTAATTGCACAGAGCCTGTTGAGGATTAATTGTAAGAACAGAACAGTATGTGCTAGGAATATAGGAGACATGATGGACACTACATGTGGAAGGAA